CGGGACCGGGAGCGCAGCATGGCCCCGCCGGGCCCGGAGGGCGGCCGAGGTGAGGCGAGGCGGGGGCGCGCTTTCCCCCGGGAAAAGGCTGTTTTACGGATTAAAACACCCGCCGGGGGCGGGGCGGGGGCGGGATGCCGGTTCGCGGCTCCGCAGTCGCCGGCGGCGGGTGGACGGGACGGGACGGCCGCGCCGTGTCAGCGCCGGGGGTCGCCCGGCCGCGCCGCGGGGGCGGGCGGTGGCAGCTCCGGCGGTAAGGCGGCGAAGCGGTGGGAGGGCGCCGGGTGGTCCCGTCCCCCCCCAGCTCAGGCGCCCGGTCCGTGTCTCCGCAGCTGCCGCCGGTGCCATGGCCCCCGGGAAGAAGATCACGGCCCGGATCAAGAGGACGCTGCCGGTGAAGGGCCCGCAGGCGCCGACGCTGAGCGAGCTGATGCGGTGGTACTGCCTCAACACCAACACGCACGGCTGCCGGCGCATCGTGGTGTCCCGGGGCCGCCTGCGCAGGTTCATCTGGATCCTGCTGACCCTCAGCGCCGTCGGGCTGATCCTCTGGCAGTGCGCCGAGCTCCTCATGAACTACTACAGCGCCTCGGTCTCCGTCACCGTCCAGTTCCAGAAGCTGCCCTTCCCCGCCGTCACCATCTGCAACATCAACCCCTACAAGTAAGGCACCGGCGGGCGCTGGCAGGGAGGAGAGGGTGGTCCCCAGCCGCCGAGGTCTCCTGGCGAATTCGTCATCCCCTCACCAGCCCGGCACTGAACCCCTTCCCAGGCTTGGCCCGCTCCACCGCGGTGCTGCTCGTCGGCAGTCTTTCCCAGCCGCAGGTTTTCCCTTTGCGGCACTTTGAGTAACGTATCCACCTCTGTGCTGATGCTCTTCGGACGCACGTGGATTATAATCACGCCTTTCCCTTGCTGCCCGCTGAGCTAGACTCAGTTGATTCAGCTTTCTGCTCGAGACAGTCCCTGGTCAGCTCCTTGGTTCTCTTCAAATTCCCTTCTTCCCAGGACCAAAGTTCCAGGATTACAAACAACGGCGTCTCCTGAAGAATGGAAAGGGAACATCTGTCACTCCTCTGTTGCCTCTTTTTTTCCTTATAGGATGCTTTGACTTTATCAATCAACAGTACTTTTTCTCCTGCCAAATTACACTTTACCTTGATCTCTGTTCTGCTGCCAGCTATCCACCCTGCTCCCTGTAGGTGATCCAGCTCTCCCGTGTCTCTTGGCACAGACACAGAAGTCTTATTTCCACATGCTCTGCCTCCTTGGGCTTTCTAACACAACCTTCAAGGAGCTTGGGAGTCTGTGAGGGCTTTCTCTGTAGTTCAGTCTGCTTTGCTTCTTATGGTCTGTGCTCTGAGATCTCTCCGAGAGTATGGCTGTGTCTACCTGCACCGACGTAAATTGATGTGGTGGTAAGAGAGATCGATGTGAGTCCACAACAGAGAATTCTGTCCTGAGCAATGAGGTTCACAGAGCAGCGGGCAAAACGCTGCAGCTAGGTGGTGAGGTGAGATGGGATGTCACTTTCTATCCCATTGTCTCCAATGCAGGTACAGTTCCATGAAAGACTATTTATCTGAATTGGACAAAGAGACAAAAAAAGCTTTGGAGACTTTCTACGGATTTTCAGAGGGCAAGACCAAGGTGCGCCGGTCGGTGGATGAGTGGAACAGCACAGGGAGCGACTTCTTCAAACAGATCCCTTTGCTGAAGTTTGAGGACTTCTCTAAGACAGCAACTGACCTTCGCAGTGGCCAAAAGAGGAAAATTGAGGGCAGTGTCTTTCACAAGGATTCGTCCATAGTGAACTCTGGGGACTCAAATGATATCATCGGCTTTCAGCTGGTAAGTGTTGCTCTTCCTTGGCCAGCAAGTTCCCTGTGGGGCAACGAAGGGGTGTTTTGGGTTGGTATCCCTCTGGCCAGTGTTATTGCTTGCTTAGGTGGCTCTGTAGTGAATAACACTCCCTCTGCTCTTTTGCCCATTCTGCCATGCCTCCATGGCTGCCTGCAGATTCATCTCCAGCTCTCTGGAAGAGAAATACCTTCCTGAAGTCTACCCAAATAGACTTAGTCCCTTCCATGACCTTTCCTTTGGGCCTGAAACACGTGATCTTATCACTTAGCCATGCATGAAAGGTCTCTGATGCCCCCTTGTTCCACTATAACTTCATACGTAGTTATTACTGTGGAAGAGAAATGGTGTCACACATACCTTGTAGAATACATAACTTCATTTCTTCTGAAACACTTTTTCCCCTTTGTAATTATCAGTGCGATGCAAACAACAGCAGTGAGTGTGCACTTTATACATTCAGTTCTGGTGTTAATGCTATCCAAGAATGGTACAAGCTGCATTACATGAACATCATGGCACAAATTCCCCTGGAGACTAAAGAAAAATTGAGTTATTCTGCTGATGACCTTCTGCTGACATGTTTCTTTGATGGCCTATCTTGTGACAAAAGGTCAGTGCACAGAAAATACCTGCCAGCTTAACAGCTTACTTCCAAGTACATAATATGTAGGAATTGAATATTTGGTATATCCTGAATTCCAGCAGGAACCGTTTCCATTTTTAAATGAAAGCAAACATTTGCGTCTTCATGAACTTAATTATGCTCTTTAATTTCATTTGTCTTAGTGTTCTGCTGTCCACATTTCAGATAAACCTATGTTTTTTGGCAGAATCAAATCTACCTGCTTATGAGTGTGGCAATGCACTTCTTGTGCGTCCTGGTGGCTGGAGCATCATCCCTTTGTACTGGGGGGTAGCAGCAGAGTTCCCCCATGCAGTTGTGGGGATAAGCTTGCGCTTGTACTCGGGTTTAGCAATTTCCCCACTGCCATGTGCAAAGCAAGCTGCTCTGTAACTCTCATTACTGAAGGCATTTTGCATGTGTCTGGGAGCATGCAAATGCATAACAGCTTTTCCTGGAAGGAAGACATTTGCTTGAGTGGGAGGGGATGTTCACAAGAAGGACAGGAACGTGCTTGAATCAAGAGGGTGTGTCCTCTCGCCCTCCCCTGCATGACAGTGGCTGATATCTTTTCTGAAAAATTAAGATTTGTGTTCCTTTAGACACTTGGCTGTCAAATGAACGAGGACTCTGTCCCTTCCCACTCTCTCAGCCCCCATTCCCACATGAAAACCTGTTAAACTTTTCATTTCCTGATGCTATTAAACCAGATCATATTTCCATGTAGTTTCAAGATATTAAGAAAAAGACCCACACTTTTCAGCAAAATAAATTGCTTGCCAAAAAAAAAAAAAAAAAATATCCAGTCCTGCTATGTCTCTGCAAAAACAAAAAGCCCAAATCTGCTGATTTTCCCCCACAGACAGTTAAAACTGCAGAGGGCAATGTAACAATATTCGATTTCTTTCAGGCACTTTACTCGATTCCATCATCCCCTGCATGGCAATTGCTATACCTTCAACAGTGGAGAAAACGGGACAATCCTGAGCACGTCCACTGGAGGCAGCGAGTACGGTAAGGAAACTGAGTTTGCAGAGGAACTATTAGATAACAAACAAGCGGTTCAGCGAACTGGATCCTACTGGAGAGTGATTGATGTGTTGGCTCTAGATGCGCAAGCTGATTGGGGGAATGCTTGTTTGAACTAGTGCAAACTATTGCCAGAGAATACAAAGATAATATCATTGCATCACTAATGTTTTCCATCTGAAATTACTGCTTCCCAGTTATATAACTTTTTAAAGTAATTTTCAGCCACGTTCTATGGAGACATGATTTGTTTGCTCTACTTGGGGCCACGGAGGGACATTACTTGCTGCAAGCGTCTCAGTCTAGCACTGCAAAGGCTTTGCTTGGTTGTTATGGTTCTACTTAAGGCCAGATAACATTAAATAAACTGTGCTGCCCTCCCTCACCAAAAAAAATGGCTCTGGATTCTGGTGTAACTAACTCTGCTCCTGCCTTGTCCCTGTTCTTCAGGATTGCAGGTTGTTCTGTATATAGATGAAGCCGACTACAACCCCTTCCTGGTGACATCCACAGGAGCCAAGATCATTGTCCATGACCAAAACGAATATCCCTTCATTGAAGACATTGGCACAGAAATTGAGACTGCAGCAGCCACCTCCATAGGGATGCACTTTGTGAGTGACAGCAATCTTGTCTCCAGGTGCATGGCACCATTTCCTTGAAACAGATGTAAATATGAACCGATACGATGTTTGAACATAGGCAGCAGCTGGAAGGCATCTAATACCTCACACTTGAGCAGCTGAAGTGCCCTGACGAAAATCCTGTGATAGCACTTTTCTGAACAGTTTTCCTTTGCACAGAGGCTGTTGGAAAATCAGGTCTTTATAAACCAAACAGCTACTGGGATTTTGTTTGTTCTCCCTTTTCTCCAACACTTTGGCTTTCCAGGGGATTTTTTTTGTTTGTTTTCACAGCAAAATCCACAACCACAGAAATGTGTTGTCAAGTGCCTTGTTTAGCTTTAGCAATAAGCAGACAAATTTGCATCCCACGCAGGTTCTGGGGGCAGAAGAGAATGAGCTGGAGCTGTGGGTAACCCGTGTTAGGGTCAGGTCTGTAAAGATGACTGCAGCGCAACCCG